CTAGGATGTTGCCTTTCTGGGGATGATGGGAATGTTCAAAAACTCGGTTTTCCTGAAGCCTGCACAGAGCTACCAACACCCTAAGCATCGCTGAGTTGCACACTGGGGTGGACGAACATCACAGGGTGAGACGCGCATGCCTGTGAAGCTGTGAAAAGGGAGGCGTCAGGCTGACCTGGAGGCAGCTCTGCCCCTCAGCCCAGGCAAAGGGGGGCCTGGAAGTGTTCCCACAACGGCGCCCACAGGGCTGCAAGGAGTTCCCGCCGCTGGGGCTGGGGCAGAGCCCAAGGCGAGGAGGGAGTCCTGGCCTCGCCCCTCTGGCTCTGGGAGCGTTTCCTCCGTGACCTGCAACAGCTCCCCTTCCCCGAAACAAAGAAGGCAGATGGGGCCCTGCAAACTGTGAGCAAGACAGAGCTCGTGATTTCTCTAGCTTATGAAAGGTGGTGGTTGTCGAACTGACCACTGGAACTTAGCGGACTGCCTGGCCCACCGTCGGGCGGTCCACGCTGGGGCTTCAAGTCAGCTACTGGCCGAGCCAGCAGAAGCCGCGCGCACACGGATGCGGGTGCTGTGTCCCGTGGGGGCCGTGAACTGCACCATTGTTGGCGAGGACGTCAGCGCTTGTAGATGGGCACGGCTCACCGCTGGAGTCTGAAAGGTCAGTGGCTGCGGTTTTGGAGGCACATCCTGTTGCTTTGTCTGGGTGCCTCTTCCTCATGGCTGGAAGTCAGCAGTGGTGCTGTCTTTGATGGCCTGGGGAGCTTGCCCCAGCTCTACCTGAGGGTCCGAACAGTCACCGATCAGAAGGATGGGTCACCATTAGATTGATCGGACCCATCCTGGAGCCGGGAGGGTGGTCAGCACCCTGCAGGATGCTGGTCTGTGTTGGGGAGAGGGGTGCACAGAGGGGGAAGGGGTACCGAGTTCACCACCAGCATCATGACACTGTCCCGCCATGCACAGCAGCCCGAGCACACAGCCAGCCCTCCTCACTCGTTGCCAAGCTGCCGAGGAGAACCCGGGAAAAAGGCATTCAACGCCTACAGGGAGACAAAGAGCCGCCCCAGCGGCTCAGTCGCCCGCAGGCTGACCGTGTGCCTGACTGCAGCCCGTCGGACTCCCGGGGCGTCTGGGGGTGGCCAGGGTTCAGGCGATGGCTGTTTTTCCTTAGAAATAGAAAATTATGATGAAAACAAATTGCCTTCTATTTAATGTAAATTTTTTTTGGATTCTGATTATATGAAAATCAGAAAATGCTGGAAACTCAAAAGTAGGAGTTAAAAATCCTCGTCTGTTAAAATCCTCTTTTGTCAGCCCCCCCACCAGGGGGCAGCCTTCCTGACGGTACTTGGTGCGTGGGCTCATGAAACTGAAAAAGGAAAGAAGTGGGAGAGCATCTCTGGGCCAGTCCCAGGGTGACTGGGACAGAGGTGCCCTCCCGCCCGCCCTGCGTGCTCACGTTCTCAAAGTGTCCCTGTGGCCACACTGTGGGCAGTCAGGGAGGGGGGGTCCAGGGCCCGGAAAGGGTGGCTTCTCGAGGCTGCTGGGGGTGAGCCGGCCCCTTGCCCACCTCCCAACGCCACCTCCCTCACTGTGAGGGGGACTTGGGGACAGCCCCTTTCAGGGCCAAGGCCAAGGGCACCATCGGCCCTGGTGGATGCTGGCCCCTGACTGGTAGCAGCCGGAGGGGCGGGCAGGGCTTCCCTGGAGCACCTCTAACACTAACGCGCCGGCCGTTTGGTCTAGAAACTCCAGTTTTGGAAACTTATGAAATTCCTCCTGCTTGTGCCCAAAACGTGGACGACGTTCCCTGCTCGTAAGTGAGAGGCGGTGTGTTTTCGTGCGGAGGCCGTCACTGTCGTGTCAGCGGTGGAACAGGAGGGCTGGGGCGCTCCGGAAGGCGCCAGCAGTGGTCAGAGGCGGGTGCGCCCCGGGTGGCGGGCGGTGCGGACGGGGACTTGGCTCCCTCCCCCGTGTGCCTCTGCGTGTGCGTCTGCTGGCCACGGAGGGCAGAGCTC